CCTTTCCCCCCCCCCCCATCTTTTTTTTTCTAGCTGTTTAAGTGTGAAAGTTCAAGAACTCTGTGTTTGTCATCAGTGCTGTGCTTGGAGACAGTACCAGATGATGTTGTTTACCTAATAGTACATTCCAGCTACAGTATGTTTCTGCCCAACTCTATTGCTACTTATGAAAATTAATAATTGACATGCTCTAAGACTCAGAAAATTATAAAGTAATTTAGCCATTTCTTCCTGGTCCTCTGTGGAAATCTGGAAACATCTTATAAAGTATTTCAGTTAGCTTGAGCAATCCTGGAGTCAGACCCAAGGAAGCTAAACATCGTAGTCACCAACTCGGGGAGATCATAATCATGTTTCCAGCCCCAGTCCCTCCGGGCGTTCCTGTCATCAAAGTTCATCGGCCAGCTGTCAGCTGCAGCAAAAAGAGAGAAGAAACAAGGAGAACAAGGTTTAAGACAAACTTCTTAAAACTTCAAGACGTATCATCACCGGCCATTTGAACTACTAAAGCTGAGTTTCAAACTGTAAGACTTGAATTGAACAGGAGCAATTTGCAAGTGCCTGAAAAGAAAAGAAACTTTGTTTTGCCCTTAACATACAGCGACCGAATGGCTTTTTCTTACCCGCTGCCAACAAAGCTCATACTAACCTATGGCCTGCCTGACTTCATCCACGTTGTAGGTCACCAGGAGCTCAGGAACATGCTTCTGCACCTCTTGTGCCAGCTCTTCGGGAGTGAAGCTCATGGCACTGATGTTGTATGTCCTCATGCTCAGTGCCTCTGCAGGGGCCTCCATCACCTCCAGAGTCGCTTTCAGACAGTCATCAATATACATCATAGGGAGACGGGTGTCTGGCTTTAGGTTGCACTGAAATTTGCCAGTCTTTATGGCATCATGGAAAATCTGGACAGCGTAATCTGCAGAAAAGAACAAGTGTACTCATCTGCTTCAATCCATTCCCTTCACGACAGTCAACCCTCAGATCACCGCTGAAGCCTCCTATCTAAAATCTAACAGCAGAACTGTGTATTATTTATGCTGTACAACAGGAGTGTAAGTCATCCTGAACAATCATTGTGCTATTCTAGCACTTGCACATAGCAGCAAGACAGAAATAACAAAACTATTACAAAATATTTTTGAAGGAAATGGTCTCAATGAATGTAACTAATCCACAATCTCTCAGATGCTGTTTAAAGGCAAAGACAACGAAATTATGCCCTAGGCTGGAGTGGATAAAACCACTGCTCTAACACTGTTGAAACTGATGGTCTGTACTGCCAGAGATTAAATTTCTACATGCACATTAAAAATGACTGATTTGGCTCATGTTTTTTTCTGTTCTTGCCTGCAATACTACGCACAAATCACTTACCAGTTGTTCCCCCACCAGGCTGAGAGTCAGCAGATATAATTCCTGGATACCTCAGGCAGCGGAAGTCCAGACCATACCGGTAGTGGTAGTACTACAGAGAGAGGAGAGAAACACAGCTTTACACATCAAGACTATGCCACACAACTCCCTGATTTCACAGGAAAAATCTGCCACAGGATGAACATCCCATCATGGGGATGAAAGCAAAGGAACTACTCAACAGTCTCCGTTCCCTGCCAGGCACCTGATCTCCCTGCTTGTCCTTTTCTAGTTCACATCCACATCAGTAGATATGGGTTTGTGATATGGATTGGCTTCTAACGTAGGGTCTCCATCTTGTGTTCAGAAACTGAAGATTCCTAAGTTTGTGAGACATTTCAAGCTAACAGTCTTCAGGCCGGCCACTGTCTGTCATAAATTTCAAGTGTGAAGTAACTGTATGTAAAAATATCAGTTTTAACTGATCGGTTTATAATGAAGTACAAAGCCAAAAGAGAAGTTGTGCATGTACAGGCTCCCATGGCTTTGACTTTAGAATCTCTTTTTCAGAGGGGAAGGGGCAAATATCATCCTTGTCTAACATGCTTTCGCAAGGCTTTGTACACTGTCATTTATGCAATGCCACTCATATTGGCAGATGAGGCAGAGAGGCCAAAGTCAAAAGAAGCAGGGAAAGAAATGATACTGAAAGTTAGATGTTTGCCAGCTTCCAGGTTTTTTGTACTTTTTTCAACAAAAGTCAAAAGATATCTGTCCTTAAGAGCTGCCTCAGACTACTACCAAGTACTAAAGCCTGCAGGAAGGAAAGAATGGGGAAAAGAACACTGCAATGAAGGATTTTACAAAAGCAGTGAAGTCCTCCCAGAACTTTCATGAAATAAATAAAATAAAAAATTCTCACTTCTCCCATGAGCTCAGCGTGGACCTTGGAGACTCCATAGATTGTCCTTGGTCTCTGAATGCAGAGATCAGGAGTTGGATCTCGAGGAGAGGTGGGTCCAAAAGCTCCGATAGTGCTTGGAACAAAGAGTCTCAAATTATGCTCAGCAGCAATATCCAGAACATTGTGTAAACCTGGAACAAACAACAGGATTTATCAGAACATAGACGGCACTTTCTCAAGCTTCTGCAGGAGTCATGAACCTGAAAACCTCGTCACATACCGGTAATATTTACAGCTCTGGCCAAAGGCACGTTTGCTTCTCCAACAGCACTGAGCAAAGCGCTATAGTGGAACAGCCAAGTTATCCGATTATTCACCACTATCTCACGTAAATTCTTGTAGTCCAAGATATCCGCGTAGATAAAAGGACCTAGAAGAAATGGAACCGGCAGGAAATTGAATGCCAAGAGAATGGATGTAAAGAAAAGCTCTACATGAAACTCAAATTGCTGCTTCTTGATCATACCTCTATTCGGGATTTGACTGCACGGCAGAACGCACACCTAACAGCAGTGCTAAATAAATTAGTAAATGAGCAGGAGAAATTAAGGGAAATTTCTACCTTTACCTCAACAGACTGATGCAAGAACTCCTGTTTTATCCAGTCAACAGCATAAAAACAGGGAACATCTAGTGTACACTACTCAAATACCATCACCAAACAGCGATGACAAAGAAAAACTGATGCAAGTTTCTAATGAAAACAAAAGAATCCAAAAATCCTACTCTACATCTATCTCGTCATAAAAATTGCCTGAGCATGGAAAAACAAAGCACAAATTTAATTTCCAACTTGTGCTCCTGCTGTAAAAAAATAGATGCATTTGTTCTTTTGGAGGGAACAGCAGCCAAGCTCAACTTGACCGAAGCAGTTATTCTGGTCAACAAAGTGGCAAAGCAACAGTGAAAAAACGCAAAGAAAAATGTTTAGAAAAAGGGAATAATAGGCAGAAGAAATTAATGTCTTGGCAAGATTTCAAAGCAGGAAGGTATTATCCAGAAGTTTTGAACCGTGGTTTGTTCAGTTTAATCCACTTATCATTTAGACTTTGGTAATTAGTCTATCAACATCAGAGGTAAAATCAAGATTTTTTTTTTTTTTTCCATATGCTTCTGCAGTCACTTACCACTATAAAAAACATTATCCGCAGGCTTTCTAATGTCAGACAAGATCACGTTGTTCTTTCCAAAGCGTTTTCTGTGTAAAAATACCCACATGGTACAGTGAGTCAACAGTCTTTGAGATAATTCATAAATTGCCATGCTGCTTTTTTGTTTTGCTGCAGCAATATTAGAAAGACAATAATTTCCACAATGAAACCAGTTAGTGCACTAAAAAAACCCACCAATCCTTTAAATGTCAATATAGCATCTTAGAAAATTAGCAAACTGCTTCTAGTAGCAGTGAAAGACTGCATAGGACAGAGAAATCTTTTAAAAAATGAAAATACATTGAGAAGAAAGACCTTCCTACCCTCTTTGTTCTGAAAATTTTACCCAAAGATAATCTACCCGCCTGCAGACAACAAAAAGCCACTGGGCATGCGGTAACTGCAGCTACTTTTATATCAACAAAGTAAATACAACTGAGTAATCTCTGCCTTGTGCTTTTATAATCCGCACAAAGAAATCACAGAGAACAAGTCTGATGGCACTGGAGTACATTCCAGCCTTCCATTATTTGGATGATTTTTAAATATATCATAGAAATGGTAAAAAACATTCAAATTGCAGCATAGTGTTGAATGCAGTGAGTTTACTCAATTCTGGTCATAGTGCAAATCCCCTGCAACAAACACTGTCTACGGGCAAATGATACTCTGGAGCTGAGCAGGCATGGAAATGGACAATGATATGGACCAGGGAGAATTTTCAGAACATTTTACATTTCTCGAAAAGATACCATGGGAAAAAAATAAGGCAACTGTGTATGTGAGGCAGGGGAACAGAAAGAGCCAGAAGACATATATTTTCACTTACTCCTTCTGCTACATCAGATCATCTTTCATCAAATCATAAAAACTTTGAGATCTTGTATCCTAATCTTCATTTTTGATCGTACTTTACTAAATAGAGCACCTTATTCCTGAAGTTACTTAACTGAAATTATCAGAGAGATAAAAGTCAGCAGTTGCAAAGCCCAACAGCTGGGGAGTTAGCAAAGGACTATGTACTTTTTCAAGGTGGATGTTTGTACTTATTTCTCTCCTGTAGTACCTGCATAAAATCACAGCCTTTGTCTCTCTAATCCAGCACTCAAATCCAGCCTTATTTGGCTAGAAAAAGAAGATAAAAGGAAAACTGTCTACTCTCTGTGGACTTTCATTTAACTGGAAGCAAAATGAACTCAGCGGCTAGTCTCTTACATAAAATTAGGCTATTTTGGGAATCGTGACCAATGTACACACAGAGAGTACGTCAGTCAACCCAAACCAAGGACAGGAGTAAAAAAAATAAAAAGATGGTGAAAATTTAAAGATATTCCCAAAACTAAGAGACAAAAAAGAATTTGTAGTCGTCACTAGGATCCTGCTACAAAAGACTTTCCAGAAACTTAATGCTTCTAGAAATGATGGCTAAAGCTTGAATTCCTCAACAACAGCAAGTCAGAGAAGCAGGACATACCTCAGAAGCTTAGCAAGTCCCACTCCAAGCTGACCAAGACCACCTAAAAGGCAACGCACAAGAGACAAAAATCAGAGAAAAATTGGTATCAAAATACAGATTCCATTGTCATATGCATCACATCAGAAACGAGCACTATTTTTCTCAGCCAGTCAGAAAGCTGTTCTATTTTTCTCAAGAAAAACTCAATGAACTGGGTTTAGTAGTTTTCTAGAATAAAAATAGTAGGGAAGTTCACATGGAACTCTGATCTTATCCCCATATGGGAAAGATCATCACAATTCCGTAGTATTTTGAGTATTAATGTTTCCTGTATTCTGCTCACCAGGGAGAGAGGAAGGAAATGGGAGACTCGACTGAGAAGCTGGAGCAGGAATACAGTTATGAGGAATGCTGACCTGTAATTAGCACCCGAGGGTGATCGGACTCGGAAAAAGAAACCGAGTGGAAGCTGGCATCAGAGGCCACCTGGCGGGGTGAGACCCCGATGCAGCGAACAGGCACGATGGAAATCCCACATCCACAACCAGAGCTCTGGAGCAGCTGGCTGACAGCTCTGCTCACGGTTTTGACGATTGGCATCTTCCTCCTTCAAATGTGCTGTCAGGACAAGAGGAACAATTAATCACAAGTGACCCAACCGTATTAAACATTTTAAACACTCCCTTAGAAAACTCCAAAGGGTTTCAGAGAAGTGTGATGCAATCCAAGTCCTGGCTGACAACTGAGAAGCAGGCTGTGAGGTAACTTGAGCAGAGGTAAGATATTCACCAAAGTAAGCTCAAGAAAATATCCACAGCCCAGCACAGAGTCCAGTATAACAAACAGCGAGAATTTAGTTCAACTTTAAGCCTTTTTAAAACAGTCACTAGAAACCACGATTTCAAGCACAAAAGACAACAAATACAGAATTCAACAATTCTGCTACGATTACACAGCTTCACTGTAGGTACTTTTGAGTTAAAAGTTTTGTAGACTGCCATGAATAAGCCAACTTTCTGAAGTGTTGCATCAGCAAGATCCAGCTAAGCCAGAGGCAGCAGTAAATCTCTTTAAAGAGCACAGCTTTGCTCAAACCTAACACGCATGATGGACAGTACCCAGGAAGCAAACAAAGGAGAAGCAGTATTTACCCAGGACTCATGAAAACGTCCCAATTATTTCACTCACACACACACACACAAAAAAAAAAAAAAAAAAAAAAAAAAAAAAGAAAGAAAAAACCCCACATGATTTGCTCATAATAACACATTGCAAAAATATCCCTAAGTTACCCTGAGCTACATGCAAGTTTGGTTTTCTTTCTCTCCAAATCTTTCTTACTGGGGAAGGAAATAGAGAAGAATGTACCCCAAATAAATAACACATGCATCCACAACTGGTCTTTTCTGAGGTTCCAGTTTACTTCTTTCAAATACAATTCTTAAGGCACGATCAGTTCTTCCTTATCCCCCTTCGAACAACTTATAACTCTCTTTTCCAAAGTGCTAAAGTAAATTCCCAGATGAAAACATATTTCAAACGAGCTTGCTTGAGATTACCCTGTCAACTCCTTCCTGATATGTGCTCTTGTGGCATATATTATAAAAAGGAGAGTCGGGGAGAAGGAAGGCCACAACAAGAAATTACAGCAGCTAATTGCGGCAGATGAATTCCAGCTCTGCCAATTCTAGTGCACATAGAAAAGCAAACACGTAATTAAAGTGGGTGTTCCTTTCACTTACGGTAACACACAAGAATTTTCTGATACTTTAGGGACTCCTGCTATTTAAATACAGAAGACTTGCTAAACTATCTAATCATATGCTTAATGAGATGCCTCCCCCGCAAAAAGTGCATTATTAAAAAGCGTATTTTTCACATTTAAACTGCTTGAAGAGACTTATTCTGAGACGCATTTATTTCCTCCTCCCTGCCCCTTAGATTGTTTGCTCACTCTTTTATTCCCTTGAGAAGCATGGTAAATTAGTATCCTGATGAATTAGCCAAGGCCCTGCTGCACCTCACAGCCACAAACCCATTAGAGGAATCAGTCTCCCTGATTACAGGTTTGATCTGTTAGTGTCTCTCCTGCCAGTGCCACAGAAGCCATCGCTCCATCTTCCCTACGCTTTGCACAAGTCTCTTGCAATTCTCATTATACACCAGACCTATAAACCTACATCTAACTCCACCCACAAAACTCCAGCAAACAAGCTCTTCCTTCAGCACTGAAAGTGAAGAAGCCCCATTTCCTGAGGACTCGATCTCAGAGGTAACTAATTGCTATCTAAGAGGTTATGGCATCTTTCTCCTATCTTGATTCTCTAGTATTGATGAGTACAATTAGCTTACAGTGCTGATGAGCCACCAAGATGGTGAAGGGACTGGAGCAACTCTGCTCTGAGGAAGGGCTGAGGGAGGTGGGACTGTTTTGCCTGCAGAAGAGAAGGCTCGGGGGGGAGGATTTTATTAATGTATATAAATATCTGAAGGGAGGGTGTTTTATTTGTATATATTAATGTATATATATATATATATATACACACATATACATACACACACACATTAATATAGATATACACATATATTCATGTATATAAATACCTAAAGAGGACAGAGCCAGGCTCTTTCCAGCAGTGCCCAGTGCCAGGACCAGAGGCCACGGGCACACACTGAAACACAGGAGGGTCCCTCCGAACATCAGGAAACACTTTTCTACTGTGAGGGTGCCCGAGCACTGGCACAGGTTGCCCAGGGAGGTGGTGGAGTCTCCATCCTTGGAGATCTTCGACAGCCATCTGGACACGGACCTGGGCAGGAGGCTCTGGGTGGCCCTGCTTGAGCTGGAGGTTGGACAAATGAATTCCTGAGGTCCCCGCCAACCACAACCAATCTCTGACACTCTGCCAAGGCACTCATGAGATTTTCCTCCCTTGCAAGCCCACCTCCACAAAACAGACATGTTCTCGCTATTTTTGAGGCTCAGTCCCTGTCAAGCTTACTTGAAATGAGCCAATAAGTGCAAAAATAGTTAGTGTGCAGGGGAAGAAGGCAGCAGGCTGACATATCCAGAAAATTCAATCTCATAAAACCTGTTTCTCCCTAGGAAACCAATCTAAGAGTGGTAAAGAACAGTGTTAGCCCTTTGAAGAGCCATGATAATCCCTTCTTGTTTCAGAATGGGAAAATAAACAACTCTTACAGCACTCAGAGAGACTCACTGCTCTCTGTTGCAGAAAATTTCCCCTTTAAAGTACCTGAAAAGGCATTTTGAGTTCTATAAAGAAAGTACAAACTAAAGTTAGTTGCTACGAAAAATGCCATGCTAGGATCAAATTGGTTTCCCACCTACTGGACTGGTTTCTCCACACGCACCGGGAGTGAAACCACACAGGCTTAAGCTGAGAATTTCCTTGCAAGTCTAGGCTGACTAAAAAGAACAGTAAACACATTTTATACCAGACACTGAAAAACCTCTAGCTCACTGAGTAGCTCAGCTGCATGCAAAAATCCCACCTGTAACATGCATTTATTTCTATTTCAGACATGAAGCAGAGGGGGGAAAATGGTGTAACTAACTATTACAATTCCAAAGTTGCCAACAAATGTACAGATATGTAAAGAAATTAATAATATGCCTTAAAAACCCTTCCCCAAACCAACGATGAGAGAAACATAGCCCCAACACAGTCATTAACTCACAAAAGCAACTTGGACAGAAAAGGTTATTCTGCTAGGTCAGAGTTTTTAATTTTAAACAACTTCAAGGAGTTATGAACAGCTATAAAGACAAAAAGTATTCATTTAACTGATGTAAAAAACCTTCAGTTTTTTGGTAGGTTTCTCTTTCTTACTAACCCAAAGAGGAAAAACTCCACACCATTAGGAACTGGAGAGAAAAAAAAATATATATTTCAATTCCCCCCCCATATTACCTTCCAGAAGACTAGTTTCCCAGTCACTGGTTTTACTCATCGACACAAACTGATACTACAAACTAGCTGGTTTGTTTTCTAGATCAAGTAAAATGAAGAAGTTTTATCCCAAAACATGGAAATTATTTCCCCCACCCCACTAATTTAAATTAACAACCAATGCTAATTTCAAGGATTAAGCAACGCATGCTGGATTTTTTTCCTCTTCTGTACTCACCTGTCCCTCAGCTGGTGATAAAGCAGAAGCAGAGCTGAGATGGCAATTTATAGGACACTGCCTCTTTTGAAAGCCAATCAAAACCTGCCAGAAAGTAGTTGTCCCACACCTTAAAAAAAAAAAAAAAAGCGTGCGCGTGAGAGCAGCAGCAGCCAGGGATATCACTTTGTTCACATTTGCTTGATTTTGAAATGTCTGTAACATTGTGATAGGCAGAACACTCTGAAGCTACGCAACCAGCTCCTTTAATTAACAGAACCCTACAACCTAGAGTCATCTCTGAAGGACGGGTTTTAAACTAACTGGTTGTAGTGTAAAGTGTAAAGTCATGTTCAAATGTAAAGCAATAATCTCCCTTGGATAGCAGGAAGTTTCTGAGTTTTGTAAGAAGATTAAAGAATGGGGAGAGGGAAAAGAAGGGAAAAAAAGACTCATAAAATGGCATTTAACAAGTTAACTGCCAGCTGCTGTTCCTTTGCAAGATTTCCAAAGTGATATATAAGCAGCAAGCACCTGTTGCTCATATAAAAGACAAAAACATGTTTATAGAACCGAGTTGTTTCTTATGTATTAGTTATTAATAGAACATTACGGTGATAAGAAAGATAAGAAACTCATGGGTTTGCTCTGGAAAAAATCCCACAACAATAAGTTTCAAAGAAAATGGGAAAGAGGGAGGAAAGACGAGGTCAGAACTAAACCCCAAATCTCCCACAGTATTTCTGGGGGCTGCCGAGATGCCACGGGATGCTCCTCCACACGGCTACCCAAAGTCATCCAAAACTTGCTTCTTCCAAAGAAAAGTCAAGATACTCTCTAGGGCACAGGATCTCACAGACTCCCAACCACTAGTACTTCAAAAACAGCCAACATCCTCGGGCAATGTGGTCGACACCAAAGCACTAAACTCCAAGCTATCGTTCTCAACTCACGTTTGTCTCCAAAACCACAGAGTTTCTGCTTCAGACCTGAAGAAGGGTTTACGCACTGGCAAGCTTCTTTACTTTTTTCCAACTGTATTAAGAGCTCGAGTGGAAAGTTACTGCCTGCCTCAGGCATCCAGAAGACGAAGCACACGCCACCTTGCCTGTGTCCCACGGGAAAGCCTCACTCCCTGGCACCCAACTGCTGCCAACTGGAAAGTCCATCGGATCACCGCATTTGGGAGCGCTCGAGCTGCAACAACTAGGGGATACTCTCAGCTCAACCAACAATGAAGGCAGCCGGGATGGCTGGACAGACCAAAGCCATCACATGTTCCCTTCGGGAATTTTGGAGAGCCCCAAACTGGGGTAAGGGGACTCGGTGTCCCTCCCTGTGTCCCCTGACATGGTGAATGTGCCAGGGCAGGGCAGAGGGGTGGCTGGGCTTGTGCTGTTCCCTCCAGCTGGCAGCTGTTGGCGAATTTCAGCTAAAATAACCTTGAGACACACACACGCACGCACAACCGCTGCGGCTCGTTTGTCAGAGGTGACGCACGACGCCGGCCCCGTCGCAAAGCCCGCCAAGAAAAGACGTCAGCCTGAAACGCCGAGGGGACGAGTGGAAATCTGACCTCAGCAACCAAAAAAAGAAAAAAAAATAATAAAAAGGAGTCAGATTATAGCCATGCTACCGAACAGCGTGACGCTCTTAGAGCGGATAAGGAAAGATCTACTTTACGCCGGGCCTCTAGAAATGAAGCAGAGGCTGGAGCGAGTTAGGCCGGAGCGAGTTAGGCGCACGAAGATCTCTAAGCTCAGGCCAGGTCTCTGGTGAGGGAAAGGGCCGAAGAAAGGCTCAAAGCCCAACGCGCCGCTCGCATCCATCCCGCCGCCGCCCCGGGAGG